ATTTCAGCTCTAGGATGGGTGGGGATGGGGCTGGGGGATCTTCAGCTCTAGGATGGGTGGGGATGGGATTGGGGATCTACAGCTTTGGAATGGGGTTGGGGGATCTTCAACTCTGGGATGGGAGTGGGGATGGGGTTTGGGGAGGCTCAACTCTGGGATTGGAGTGGGGATGGGTAGGCTCAGCTCTAGGATGGGAGTGGGGATGGGGTGGCTCAGCTCTAGGATGGGAGTGGGGATGGGGTGGCTCAACTCTGGGATGGGAGTGGGGATGGGGTGGCTCAACTCTGGGATGGGAGTGGGGATGGGGTTGGGGGATCTTCAGCTCTAGGATGGGAGTGAAGATGGGGTTGGGGGAGGTTTAGCTATGGTTTTCTTGTTGGGGTTGGGGAAGGGGGATCTTCAGCTCTGGGATGGGGTAGGGGATGGGGTGTGGGGATCTTCAGCTCTGGGATGGGGGTTGCGATGGGGGTTGGGGATCTCCAGCTCTGAAATGGGGGTGGGGATGGTGTTGGGGGAAGTTCAGCTCTGGGATGGGAGTGGGGATGGGGTTAGATGTCAATAATCTAGATATATCTCAGCTTCCACAGGGTAGGGCGTCAATGATAAACCCGAGTAATTATGCCGGAACACCGCACAATGCAACCTAGATATCTGCAATTTGTAAAGGTACAGAAAAAGCCTTTCTATATTCAGTGACATAGATTTAATTTACGGAAAAGAAAATGTTTCCATAAATATACTTCCTATCGGAAACACTCGAAAAATACATTTCCGGGTAATTATCCAGCCAGCAGTACTGTTTGAAGGACCGTTTCATGTTAATTTCTACGCATGATGCCTAGTTATGTCCCATTATAGGCTATAATGGCCGTTCAAGAAAACGGCAGTAGGGATTGTTGACAAACGTCGAGATCATTTATCTTTAACAACGAATGTGTTCGTTTGATGTGTCACAGACAAGCTATTTATACGTGTGATCTACTATACATGTCGGTGCTTGTGACCGATTTTCCTCTAATACATTTGTTCAGTCAGGATGTATCCAATGGCTATATAAAGTACTGTGTATCAAAAGGACGTGACGGTCGGTACCGATCCCCACCCTACGGTCTGTAGATACAAAACACAAATATACAGACCCCGGGGTGCAGATCTGTATGTGCCGTGCCTCTTTGCTTTGTGTCAGCAAAGACAATGACCTAGAAGTGACTGGTACTGGACGTACTATATAGCTGATTCAGTAGGAGGTCTCTAGTCTTTGTAATTATTTGCTTAATTATTGTTTACCGTCCTTGCACTAGCTATATAATGTTATTGAAGACAGATACAAGAGTAAGTTGGAGAGGAAAAAAATAGAATCACAGTTTAAAGTGTTGCAATTGTAGGCAACGTTTCCGTTCTTTGTAATAACAAGGAAATATGAAGACGGGTGCCTATAGTTGGGAGACATCGCCCGCGCCGAAAAAGAAAACGTCCCAAATGTTTTAATGGTGCGGCGAGCCAAATTGTGTTTTATCAGTGTCTTATATAAAGATACGGAAGCAAACTCTCGATTCAACACAAGGTATCACGTTAGTCGCCTCATACTTTCTCCTAACCCGCACTGGAATAGAAACAAATATATTAAGGCTATGGCTGTACATACCATGCTGGACCACAAACATATACAGCTGTACGATATCAAGTAGAATGTTACTATTTAACAAAATAAGTAAGCACAATTATAATTGTATAACTGCATGTACAAATATATTGCGCGCTTAAAAAGTTCGTGCTTTGTGAAATTTATCTAATTTTGCATAATTACGATGTTTTTGTAAATCGTTACCCGTATTAAGGTATAATGAGAAATTGCTGTCGTTGTATGATACTACCTAAATTGCAGCATTATTATCAACACGAAGCTATTTACATCGCGAGCAGTTTGGAGAGTTTTAACGCGGATTTGTATACGCGAAAATGTAAAAAATGTGAAAACTCGAACAGGCAAAAATGTCCATATACAGAAATTTAAGCTCTACTCCAACAGTAAAACGAAAGTTGACATTTCAATCACAACAGTACGTTGTACATGTACATATAATTAAGTTCGTTCTGTCTCAAATATCTTGCAAGATATTGAGTGACTGTATACGTACTCAGGTGTCTGATACCGTGACGCACCATTTAATATAGCTGTATCCTACAAAATAACACACGACCATCAATTCGAAATAAAAGAAATTGAATAAAAGGTTGCTAACAATAGCGGGTTTTGTTTAGGTTTCGATGGATAACGAGCGTTGTGCTTGATAGCTTTTGTTAGGTCTTCATATCAATATAGGGCTCTCGAGGAGGGACTTCGTGACTTGGAAGACATTTTGACTATTTTAAGGGGCTTAGTTCCAGTATCAGCTCTCCATCCTAGATCACCACATGAAAAATATAAATCACAAGTAGTTTCAGGTATAACAACAAATGCCTAGAAAGAAACAGATTTTAAGACGCAAAGGATAAGATCATAAATGTTTGGACGTGTTCTGGTAACGATATATACGCCGTTGATCACAAATCTATTTGTGGTTTTCTTTTGGATCGCTACAAAATGCACATCTAGCAAATAAACTAAGGAAGTTAAATCACAAAATTTTCGGGATATCAATTATATTAAATTATAACATGATATCATTTCACTGTCGGGTAAACCTAGGTTACATTATTTTAGATTATGAAATTATATGTATATGATAAAATAAAGCACTTGCCGTACGCAGTAAATTTTACTGTAAAATTTAATGTTTTTTATTTAGCTGATTGCTTTTGACATTGGAAAAAATCCAGACCCTCATGAAACGATATAAAACGCGTTTTGTCAAATCGCTAAAGAAATAAAAGATGAAAACTTGGGACACAATGAGAGAGGAAACCCGACACGGCGAGTGTACTCAGGGACTCGAGGTGAACCATGTGTCTCGTGTTGATGTGGGGGTATCAAATGCTACAATTACAAGGGGACGCTTGAAATTAATGTAATCAGTGGATATCGAAATGATACGGAGCCGTCCTAGAATGACAACCGTGTCTGTATAAAAAGTACCCGTCTGATACTCCCGTATCTAGTTAACAAATGTGCGATAGTTAAATCATGAAATAATGGCTTTTTGACATTTTTTTGACATTTTTCATGTATAGACCAATGTTTTCACGTTCTAACATGAAAACAATTGTATACACAATACATGTATATCCTATTGTCATTTTCTGTCGGACATCATTATACTTTCTTCTCCGACTCCCCTTTTCTGATCCCATGCCTCGCTCCTCTGAACAAACATCTCTTCAGTATTCCTCCTCGTTTCTCTGCCTATCGACCCTCTCTTCAGTATTCCTCCTCGTTTCTCTGCCTATCGACCCCATTTCACTCCTCCCTAGGTAACATTTTCCGTTCGCTTTTCTTTCGGGTCTGAATGTCATATTTCCGACCTCACTTCTCCTGTCTCTCCTTAACAATCCGCTCCCGACCCCCTCCTCTCTGTCCTGAACATCGTTTCTCGGACATTCTCCATCCCGACTCCTTCCTCTTTTCCCGCAACCACATCTCCGATGTCCTTCTTCCTTTCTTTCGTGAACATCCTTACTTCAGCATCCTTCTCATATATGTGTTACCCCCTCTCCCCGACCCCTTACTCGTGCCTCTTCTTCCTGAACTATCACGCCCCTGCGATTCATTCCTCTCTTTCTTGAATTCCCTTTCCCTACCCCTTATAAACTTTATTTTTGTACAACAATTTTGAAATAAGTTTTTCAACTCATTAATCACTCTTGTTGGCCCGGATGATAGCGCGTGGGGGGGGGGTCTTCATGTGGGAGGAAACCGGAGTACCTGGAGAAAAATCAAATGATCAGACAGGTGACCCAATACCCTTTCACGTCTGATTGGGAAATCGAACCCCGGCTGCTTTGGTGAAAAGCAAGTGCGCAATTCAAAGTGCCATTCGACCCCTTTCTATCTCCCAAATGCCCTATTCTCCATTTTCTGCCGAACTCTCGTTGCTTTCCCCTTCTTCTTTATCCCCTGCCCCCTACTTGCCAGTGTCTTTTCTGTACTCTCCTTCCCTGATTACATCTCCCTTTGCCTGCTAGACTCCCTTTCCCCGACCACCTTCATGTCTCTCGATAACTCTCTCTCTCCGACCCTTACTCGCCCTGCTTTCCCCAACCCTCTATCTTTCTCCCCTAAACCCCCTATCCCTAACCCCCTACTCGCCCCTCCCTTATCCAACACCCTCCCTCCCCTGAACCCCCTGTCTCCGATCACCTACTCGCCCCTCCCTCCCCAACCCCCTTTCTCTCTTCCCTATCCCCGATTACCTACTCGCCCCTCCCTCCCTAACCCCCTTTCTCTCTTCCCTATCCCCGATTACCTACTCGTTCCTCCCTTCCCAAACCCCCTTAATTCCTTTCTCACGTTAACCCCATCTCCCGACCACTTTCTCGCCCTCCCTTCTCCAACCCCTTCCTACCTCCCTTGAACCCCTTCTCCCCGACTACCTACTCGCTCCTCCCTTCCCAAACCCCCTTCTTCTCTCACCTTAAGCCCCTCCCCCCGACCACTTTCTCGCCCCTCCCTTTTCCAACCCCTTATCTCCCTTCCCTGAATCCTATCTCCCCGACCACTTTCTCGCTCCTCCCTTCTCTAACCCCTTATCTCCCTTCTATGAACCCCATCTCCCCGACCACTTTCTCGACCTCCCTTCTCCAACCCCTTCCTACATCCCTTGAACCCCCTCTCCCCGACTACCTACTCGCTGCTCCCATCCCAACTCCCCTTCTTCTCTCACCTTAACCCCTCCCCCCGATCACTTTCTCGCCCCTCCCTTCTCCAACCATTTATCTCCCTTCCCTGAACCCCGTCTCCCCGACCACCTTCTCGGCCCTCCCTTCCCCAACCCCCTTCCTCTTTCCCCTGAACCCCCTCTCCCCGGCACCTTTCTCGTCCCTCCTTTCCCCAACCCCCTACCTCTCTCCCCGGAACCCCCTCTCCCCGACCCCGTACTCGCCCTCTCACTCCCATCTGAACCTCCCCGATATGTAGAAGTCTGTCACGCGTCAGTGTTTCTGTACTGACAGTTATGTGAGATCCCCGTCTAATTTTTATCTATGCAATAAAAGAACTACCGTTTAGGGCGTAGCTTACTAAAGCTGACAATTTGGTGGGCAGCGTTTCCTCTCAAACTTTACACACTTCCGTGATTGAGATGTAACTAGTTAGAATTTTATGAGGTGAGGAATGCGCGTGCTCGAATTACAGAGAGTTCTTGTACTTCATCAGTGCTATGACATGGTGATATGTGTACGATTCTTCTCACTTAGGAACATTTAAATTTTATTTTAAGAATGAAACATTTGACGTTTTTTAATCAAAAGAACCTCACAATTGAAAGGTAAACAATATAATCATTACATAGATGCCACTTACAAAAAAAGTAATTATGAATGTCAGAGAAATTATAGGGGAGATAACTCTTAATAGCAAGTTGAGTGTGCAAGTTAGCATGGATCAATTAGAATACTTGACACAATAAAGTAGTACAATCTTAAACGACTGACTCGCTTTCTAGCATGATTGTATTATACACAGAGAAAACAATTCAATAAAATGTTATCAAAATAAAAGAATAACATAAATTTCTCCTATATGTCTATAAGAAATATATAATATTAACCACAGTTTGAAAAGTTAGATTATTCACCTGTATGCCGTAAATAGCTACAACAGGTACATTTAGTATATAAGATCGATCTTAGCCACGCTTAAAATATTTTAACTTTCCTATTAAAAAAGGTAAAGCGGGTTTAAAATATCAAACTTAGCCACAGTTAAAATGGTATCCTGCATAGTCTATAAACAATATTAATTTTATCCACTATTAAAAAGGCTGAACTTTCACAACATGTACGTAGCTGCAATAAGTACAAAAACCAATCTTAGCCATAGTAAAATATGGTTTAATTAGTTTCTCCATTATGTTCAAAAACCCAGAGCTTTGGTCGTATACATGTATGACCTGTAGCTACAGCAGGTATACATATACTGCCAACCCTAGTCCCAATTACTTTAGTAAGGGCCCCAGCTTTTTTCCTACTTGTGAGTAATTAAAACATCAATCTAAGTCATAAAATGGCCAATCTTATTTCTCCTTGGTGTCTATAACAAGACGATAATAGTTATCTTAGTCACAATTTTAAAAAGCTTTAGAGACTTAAGAATCTTTCATAAAGTTAAGCATATTCTTAAAGATAAGAATTTTGAATGGTTTAAGACCTTTGAGAAACACATTTTTAAGCATATGTTTAAAGTTAAGCATATGATTAAAGTTAACCAATAAGAACAGTACAAGAAGTTTCGAGATTCCGCGGCTGGAACTTTCATTGTATATTATATATGTTGCTAATACATGGATCCAGCTTGTTTCTTATATCATTCTTATAAACACTGTTAATAAGTATGGCTTTTTACTTTATGTCCGTATACAGACTGTATGTAATATTAATACCACAATTAAAGGGTCCCAGCTTTCTTCTTATATGTCTATAATAACATCATTCTTAAAACACAGCTTAGAACCTGAATACCTAAATGTCTGAAGCTATGACAAAGGTAAAATCTAAGTATACGTTTATACCCCCGTACCTAAATGCATGTAAAGGTAGCAATCGTAATCTGCTGTTTACATTGTATGATCGAAGTCGGACAGATTGCTGTGTAGTTACGTCATTGTTTTTATTTACCCACGGCCATTCGAGGTGTGTAGTGCTATTGTACATAAGAGCCAGCTCTAATCCGTATCCACTTACTTTGTTTTGCCGGCAAACATTCGGAACAAAATGAAAGTAGAAAAAATGTTGAGTGTTTCAACACGTGGAAGAGTCTACATTAGCCACGCCCCCTTCAAGGGCAGGATCTATCACTCAGCGTACCGGTGTAGAATTGATTCAGTTTAATTAATACTATTGTGTATCATAGCGTTGTAAATAAAATCCCATTCAACGTTTTTTTCCTTCTCAATTTCCTCCTCTGCGCGTTTGCTTATCATGTGATAGCCAATCACAATACATTTCACCACCAAGACTCCTCGCCTTTCTTCCATTCATGTATGATCAGACGGGACAAAGCACGCGAAGGTTTTGAGCGGACGGTATACACCAGAGGTTTCGCTATCTATCGTAGAACTTCAATACTTGTTCGCTTTCACGCCCTTTTCTTTACCGTGTAAACTAAAGGAGCTCCACTTGAGATTATAACCAGTGCGAACTTTACACTCTCTCCAATATAAGCACATATCTTCTATACTACAGCAGCAATAGACAGACACATGTTCTGGTAGACAGCGAGAGCTGTTTTTTCGCACTTTCTATTTCTCTAACATCATTCTGATGTTTACTGTTCAACAAACTAAAAGTGAGAGGAATATTACCACAGTCTGGATTTAAAGAAAAATGATTCAAATCATCGCGTGGATTACGGAAAAGTAATTTTTATCTAAATCAGGTGAGCGAAAATTGTACACCTGGAATCGCTCTTTGAAGTTAAAGGCGACATCGACGCGTCGTATTTCCTTAGGGTACACGTGTATTAGTGTACACGTGCACTGAATACGGACGAATTGGATAATACGCCGTGGTGTTTAGGTCTGGAATAATGAAATCTACTGATGTTTTCTTCGGATACCTGTATTTTTCTATCTTTGGCTGTGTTGTGGCTAGATTAGGAGACAGATTCTCGTCACTGTCTTCGCTAAAGGAATGGGTGGACCCCCACCCCCTACCGGGTAAGCCATGTGTCCTATACCTATATACATATATAATTACCATGGAAATTAATACTAACTTTATATTTGAGCATCTTTCATCCTATTCGTTTTCCCATCATATTGTTTTTCATTTATTTTTGTCATTGTAATTTCTTCCTTGATACATTGACGTTTAAATATGTAACGCTAGCATTACCTGCTGGTAATGTTTTCATTAGCGTACACATACAATGTTATTTAAAGATAACATCATTTATACTTGAACGTATATAATATACCATGCATCCTGCCTTATACTGTGATATTTCACTCGCATGCATCACAAAATGCTCTCAATCTGTCTGTGCACAATACGTATAACAGACGGATCGATCGAGGGTATTTATCCTACTGATTGATCAAGACGTATCGATAAATCAATCATATGAATCGTTTGCCTGGAACAACAGGTGCGATAATTAAGGGAGTTAAATATTGTTTATGGGAGTTTATGGTAGCGGGGTGATCAGTTCAGCAGCCTGTTGTTATACGATGTACGATGAACTGGAGCATTTTCCTGTGCTCTATCAAAAATATCTGACATGAACTTATCAACTCTCAAATCAAGCCAAAACGAGCTGAGATACATTATTATTAAAAGTGAATTTTATTATCAAATATATATTACATTTCAAAATTATAGTCCAAAACTAGTAGCACTTGGTACATATACAGTATCAGGTACACTACATGTATGACATTGGAGAAACGGATGCAATTTGTTAAAAAACATGATTAAATTGGACATTACAATTCAGCGATATCATTCAAAGGAAATACTAAATAAATATGAAATGTCGAGTAACAATGTATTCGCTGGTTATCAATAAGTAATAAGCAGAAACAAAAAACAACAGGTCATTGCCAAATAAAGTACATACATATATAGATATGCATGACAAAGCATCAATGAAAAAAAAGGTGAATGAAAACTATTTGAAAAATGTGTAGCCTACTTTGCGTAATTATCAGAGCTAAGTAAATTGATAACCTTGGATTAAAGCATCACGTTATCACAGAGTAGCTTACTTATAAGCTCGGTCGTTTCTCGAGTTTAGCTGTGACGACTTGGCGATCAGTTAACTCACCTAAGACTTACGGCATTTGTTAGATATCTTGCTCACACTATGATGTAACGCTGGCAAACTAAAGTAAATGATTTGGAATGCGATTCGTTAATTGGCACATATTTCTATAAACACAGTCCGATGTAATAATGCTCTGTCGCTTAATCAAGATATCCGTCGAAAAAGTCGGTGTCTGGCGCACCACGATATTCCCTAACCTACGTAATATTTTACAGTTCTATTCCATTTTTGTTGCCCAATTCTAGTTACTTAGTGACCTAAAGGTGAAACAACAAAACATAAACATACAATACTTGAATTATAAACAATATATAAAACTACACAGAAGCCAGGGCCACCTTTCCTTAAATTTCCAGTGACTGTATAACGAATAAGAGTCAAGCAATATTTTCGTATTATCAGTAGATAAAAAATGTACTGAAGAACTTGTTCTTATAACTAAAGAATTTTTTGATGATATAGTCGTTTTCCAGTCGTAAAACTCTTTATCTGTAGGACAAAAACAGCATCATTTTTTCTTCAGAAAGTACCGCTACGATTTTCCGAGTTTTGTCTTTATTTTTTTTCTTATAAAACTGAACTTGCAGACAAATAATAGCTACATTAACAATCTTTATGAGTACAACGACATGCATATATACATATGTTATTATTTTAAAACCCTGTTTAAAATATTTCATGCATTTGTTGTACGATGGTAGTCGAACTCCCCTCTACCAACACACCAGACTCTAAACGCCGTCTAATGCTCTAGACCCAATTGTCAACCAACAGTATGGAAACAGAATTAAAATGAATAAATAATAACATAAATGAAAGAAATGACACTTTAACGTTTCTTATATCGGACATATAAATTTACAAACGATTCGACCAGCTGATTAGATAAATTGTGCGCGTGCTTCAGTAAGGCATTATGAGGCACCCATTGTATAACACAATTTTGATGTATAATCTTTAACATCTAATTCAGTGATATTTTGTAATTATAGAAATGTGTATGTATATATATTAATGAATATGTTTACGTTAACGTGTATCACGGATATGATAAGAACGTCTACCACAAACAAGAAATATAACTAACCGTGTTTTATTGAAATATTCTACGTCTAGATTTTATATACGCATGTCTTGTTTTTATAATCTTACACCCTGTGCAGGTCAGACATATCTAGATATATATGTAACATAGGAAAATAACGAGTTTTGTCTTGTTTTACTGCCGAGAATTGGCCGCTTTCTCGAGCCAAAATGTGCCATATTTTCCATAAAATGAAGAAAAAAAACCTAGAACATTTTCCAACATTTTTATCACCAAATACTGCTATCTTTTTCTCATTTTGTGCATATAAACTGATGTGACATTTAGGTAGAAAATACTCAACACAAAGTGTAAACAGAACTAATGAAATTGATTGAATACGGGAAGGGGGTAACACAAACATGGAAATCATCTGTGATGTTGGATACTACGTGTCAAAACCTCATCCTGTGGAACATTCATACACCCCCGCACCCAGACAATTTCTCAATCTCACATGCACACATACCTCTTAAAACCTTGATTGTTCAATCAAATATTGATATTTCTGTGACACCTACTGTAGCCACACCTACTTTGACTTGAACATCCCCTGATAGGATTGTTATGCTAGCGTCTTTATTGTTATTTTCATTCAGTAACCATGATAATGACTTTTATTATCACGTTATGTATCTATATGAACGGAATTCTTTCTATTTGCTCCCAATACAAATATGTATTTTAGTATATGTAATTTAAAAACCGAATCATCTACAAACATATCTATAAAAATGCATGTTTTTTAGTTTTCTATTTGATCATACAATAATTCGGTGTTGTCATTTTGAAAGCGAAACCATTCAAAGAAAATCATAAAAAAAAATATTTTTTCATTTTAAAGCATATTCAATTTCATTAAGTATATTTGTTATATAACTTCACCATGTCAGGTGAGACCATTTTTGTTAAGAGGCCACCTCTGTTAAGTTACCACTTTTAAGAATCCCTATTGCAGTTTTTTTACACATTAACTGAACCTGTCACTATATCGCCTGCAATAAGATACCATTTTATTGAGTTCCCGATCATAGTCTTTACAGGGTTGTCATTATTTCTTAATCCTATTTCCTATCGTCTCCATCAAATCTCACCTTTAAAACCGTTATCAGTAGAAAATCCTTTCCGGGGCGACATGACTGGTGTACGAGGCCATGTTTTAGCTGGATAACCCCAGGTGATGCGCTCATGTGCTGTTAACAAATTACAATGTTAAGCGTGAAAGTGTCTGTACTTCCTACAGAATACTCTTCCTAGTTAGGTAAGGTCAACATTGATGAAAGCTGGGGCTTTGTTTGGAACAATTCAGGTTGTTTGTTCCTTTTGTTTTACAATATATCGGAGGAAGACAATACATATACAATATTTACTGAACAATACTTATGATTTATGGACTTTAGTGGAGCTAAATATGTGGTTACATGAACAGGAGAAAGTGATGTTATTTGAGAGGAAGTCGAAGTCACTATCACTTTCTCAGGGCCATTGCCGCATGTTCACGGAGATAAAAGTCTAATTGTTATATTAGATACTAAATAATGTTCTGATCATTAAAAATGATAGAAAGTATGGAAATATTGTACTGAGAAAGAAGTTCATTTGGAAGAAAGCATTGTGACGTCACAATATATATGACGTCATAAAATGAAAATTAACCGAGTCAATATCACAAATCTTTGATATCCACGTGATTACTATCCAACTAAGGAGGACGTAGGAGAAGTGTTTGTTTTCTTATATGATTTTTTTACTGTTTTTATTTTATGAAAAGAAGTATTATACATAGAGAATAATACATGCCTTTTTCCATATCATACACAGTATCAACCCGAGACTGCAATATCAGCCCAAGGGCGAAGGCCCGAGGGCTGATATTGGCCGAGGGTTGATACTGGGTATGATATGGAAAAAGGCGTGTTTTATTCTGTTTATTACATACTTACTTATAAAAACTACTTTCTTATGATTTATTTTTATTTTTGAAATATTGAAAAACTATTTTTTTTCCGAAAGGGGTGTGATATGGGTTTTGCGGGCTGATACGGGTTTTGGGGTGTAATACGGCGGGGGCTGATATGGGTTTTGGGGTGTGATACGGCGAGTGCTGATATGGGTTAGAGCAATTGTGTCGTATCGCATATACAAAAAAAACTGCATTAATTAGTAAGTATGTAATAAAATGAAATATACTATAACCTTCATGTTACAGAACAGTGAAACACACACTAATCTCGTACATTTTGACGCGATGACATACCTTATCACATCTTATTTTTTTTTTTATATTATTCCCGACAAGTGATAAGCCAGTAGTGCCTCACATGTCCACCGATAAAAACCAATAATGAATTGGAGCGCGAGTTTTTTGTTGAAGGATTGGGTGTTTCTAAAAATAGAATTATGACGTGTCTCCAAACGAACGCACCGTCCCGCTTCCATTGATTTTTTTTTTCAATTCAGAGAGATACCAGAAAAGCTTATGGATTTTGTTCATATTTATCCCACAATTCCTTTCTGCACACAATTCAGATGCGAAACAATATGTTGTAGTAAAAGGAGGTATTTTTTAAAGATGATTAATCCTATAAACTATTTTTTAGCATACTGACGGGTTAAAAAAGATTTCGCAATGAAAAACATATTTGAAAAAGTTAACAGTGATACAATTTCTATTGTACAAGCCAACCTGTTAATTACAGAGTGGGAATTATATTGAACAAAAAGTATTAAAGTTATAACGATTAAACCTTTCAAAGATCAGACAAATGTAGATCAATGTTAGATCGTTGTTTCTGTAAAATATATTG